TGGTCCTATTTCTCGCAATCGTCAGAGCAGTTCTAAACAGAAAGTTGGTCAAAGTTAAAAAGAAAGAAAAATGAAAAGAAAAAAGGAAAAAAAAAGAAAAGAAAAAAAGAAGAAAAAAAAAAGAAAAAAGTGTCAGTGGTCCTATTTCTCGCAATCGTCAGAGCAGTTCTAAACAGAAAGTTGCTCAAAGTTAAAAAGAAAGAAAAAAAGAAAAAAAAGAAAAAAAAAAGAAAAGAAAAAGAAAAAAACAGAAAAGTGTCAGTGGTCCTATTTCTCGCAATCGCCAGAGCAGTTCTAAACAGAAAGTTAGTCAAAGTTAAAAAAAAAGAAAAAAGAAAAAAAAAAGGAAAAAAAAGGAAAAAAAAAGAAAAAAGAAGAAAAAAAGAAAAAAAAAGAAAAAAGTGTCAGTGGTCCTATTTCTCGCAATCGTCAGAGCAGTTCTAAACAGAAAGTTGCTCAAAGTTAAAAAGAAAGAAAAAAGGAAAAAAATGAAAAAAAAAAAAGAAAAGAAAAAGAAAAAACAGAAAAGTGTCAGTGGTCCTATTTCTCGCAATCGCCAGAGCAGTTCTAAACAGAAAGTTAGTCAAAGTTAAAAAAAAGAAAAAAGAAAAAAAAGGAAAAAAAAGGAAAAAAAAAGAAAAAAGAAGAAAAAAAAAGAAAAAAGTGTCAGTGGTCCTATTTCTCGCAATCGCCAGAGCAGTTCTAAACAGAAAGTTAGTCAAAGTTAAAAAAAAAAGAAAAAAGAAAAAAAAAAAGAAAAAAAAGGAAAAAAAAAGAAAAAAGAAGAAAAAAAAGAAAAAAGTGTCAGTGGTCCTATTTCTCACAATCGTCAGAGCAGTTCTAAACAGAAAGTTGGTCAAAGTTAAAAAGAAAGAAAAAAGAAAAGAAAAAAAAAGAAGAAAAAAAAGAAAAAAGTGTCAGTGGTCGGTCCTATTTCTCGCAATCGTCAGAGCAGTTCTAAACAGAAAGTTAGTCAAAGTTAAAATAAAAGAAAAAAGAAAAAAAAAGGAGAAAAAAGTAAAAAAAAAGAAAAAGAAGAAAAAACAAGAAAAAAGTGTCAGTGGTCCTATTTCTCGCATTCGTCGGAGCAGTTCTAAACAGAAAGTTA